TCTTCTATGGGGTGACAGGGATCTACCAGCTGTCACTCTTCTATGGGGTGACAGGGATCTACCAGCTGTCACTCTTCTATGGGGTGACAGGGATCTACCAGCTGTCACTCTTCTATGGGGTGACATGGATCTACCAGCTGTCACTCTTCTATGGGGTGACATGGATCTACCAGCTGTCACTCTTCTATGGGGTGACATGGATCTACCAGCTGTCACTTTTTTCCTCCACTCTGATCACATGATTGAAATACAAACCATTTGTGGTTTTGCAATGAATCAAAATACAAATTATTTATATTCCGAACATCCAGGCTTCAACTGAACTTACAGAGTTAAATACTTTGTTACTTATGACACTAGCATGAAAGACATGAGTGACCAAATATGATGTAATTTGACCCATTCCAGGGAAATCCCTATTTGTCTCCTGTGTGCCCATTAAACTTATCTCTGTATAACTGTGATTTTTTATTTTTTTGGGGGGGGGTGACAAGTTTATTTTGAAAACATGAGTAACATGAATTTTCCAGAAACCATACAACTGACATCAACTTATACAAATTACATCAATAAATTATATGGTATAATTTTGTTGAGATGTGGAGATGAGTAATACAGTATATGTCAGAGAAATATATCGATTAATAAACTTGAAAACCTCAGAATATGGCCATTGCACATTTTCTACTTAGTATTCTTGCTCTTTTGAAGGACGTTTTAGAATCAACTTGAAAAGACATGGAAGTCGGTTCATACAGCCGAACAACAGACATTTCTTCACCAAAGAACAGCTGGGCTGTCGGAATAGCTGTGTAAGAATTCAGCAGGCTGGCAGCTGATTTTCCAGCATCAGATATTCCAAGTGGATTGTTTGAGATGGAGGTTCTCCTGCTCAGTGCCACTAGATCATAGTCAAGTGATGGCAGTGCGAAAGCGCATGTAACCAGTCACTATGTGATCTATTACTATGCTGCTATACAATTAGAGGAAAGTCTCCTTGGAAAACAACACAATAGCGAAGCACCGTCCATTGTGTACATAGCTTTTCATTTGGTTTCTTGTTCTTCATTCATTCAACTTCCAGCTGCTTCAGGTTGAGGGTGACAGGTGGGCTTGAGGGATAAGGGCAGCTTCACATTAAATACAGATGCGCTCAAAATCGAAACAATGCAGACGGTCCGTTCTGTGACGCAAGCGAGCCTCAGTTGTTTATTGTCCAGGGGGAGAGAAGCAGGAAGTCAGAAAGGATATCTGATTGTATATAAACATCTCTTCTGCCCTCTCTGATCAGACTGAAAACAAACATGGCTAGTGGATTCGAATAAAGGTTGGCAAGAGGTCTGGAAATACCAGCAGCTTCAGCTCTATTCCACACTATGAGATTATAAGGACTTCCAAATGGCTGCAAGTAAAATAAAATACGTTTGTAACAACAACAACATATACCTGTCTGTGCCCTTGCTAATTGTAAGTATGCAGTTAGTTTTATTAAAATACTTATCTTTAATATAACACCCATATCACAGCAGGCCTGGTATCAAAGTATGTGGTTGATTGACACATTAACACGAGAACCACAAGCACCCAGGAACACAGATGGTCCAAAGTAAATATGAGCCAGCCAGGCAACGCCCGAGACAGGATGCACTCACAAAATCAAAACAAACAAACACTTCTCAAACCATGTGTCTTTGGACTTTAGGAGGAAGCCCGAGAAAGGGAAACACCCTGGACTGGATGCCAGTGGCTTCCATTTGTATTTCTGATACATTAACAAACCTGAAGATGAATGCAGGGTGAATTATAGCATCTCTTAGGTAAACTTGTGGAGTTGCAAAATTCAAGTGCTTCTCAGATGGTGTTTGCACGGCATTCACAGGGAAGCCAGCTGTCTGTTTACAGTGCTGCCAGTTTTTTGTGGGAGTGTTGCTTTGGATGAAGACAATATGATATGTTTATTAATACCTCTTGCTGCTTTAAAATACTTTACGTTTCCTTCTTTTTGCTGTGCTCTGCTGCTGCGGCTTTCTCTAGCTGATCGCTCGCTCAGCTTGATATCCTTATCTGGCTGGACCTCTTCCATGTACCGTAGATACTCCCTCAACATGCAGCCTGATGTCATAGCAACCTTTTTCTGTTCTTAAAAATTAATAGCAAAAGATTGCCATGCAACTGAGATGCACACCACCATCACGGCGTTCCAGTGTACGGTTACCACAAACATAAACAGTGTTGGTAAACATTTTGACACTATGTGGGTGTCCTTCCTGCCACTCTTCATGTGGCAGAGTTGGCATTGGTTTCCATGGCTATGTAGAAGGACGATGCGATGTAAAATGCGCCGATGCCCCCGACACATGCTGCATCTTGCATACCTTCATTGTGGCTGTCTTTAGTAACGACTGTCATCTTCCTGAATTCCAGAAACTCAACGATACACCTACAAATGAGCAAAATATCTGAATTATTTACAGTGCAGGCTGTTGTCGCGGCTCATGTGGGCGTTTCTGCAGCTTCTCGCACAATACAGCAGCTGTATACTGCATGACTAAGAGCAGAGCTGATGGTGAGACTTGGGGGGGGGGGGGATATTTTATTTTGTTCGAACATTCTTCTGGACTTCCCCTACCTACTCAGAAAGCATTTGGTCTCCTAGCCTTTGGTGATGACCAGAGTTTTTGGAGCTTCCTTTCTGTGTGCCTGATATGTGGGAGGGAATAAGCCACAGGAAAGGGGTTGGGGGGAACTGTAGGCGGTGTAGTGCTTCAACACACAGTGCTGTACCCTAAACCATACAGGTTCATGTTTCACTAAGGGACCGCCACATAGTTTCACCAGCCTTCGGACAGCAGCTTATTAAATGCTATCAGGTGGATGATCCCAAGTTCTCACCAGTTTAGCCACCATTCAGGTTTTAACCATAACCTCTAAGCTGAGAGAATAGGTGTGAAATTTCCAAAAAAATATGTTTATGTCTGGTGGCTTTACTGATTGCAACAACGCAACATGTGGAGTGGGGCAGACTTTGCTGAAAACTTGAAAATATTTACCTAAAATAAGAAAGCATATCACGTTCCAGCTGGTGTGTCTTGTGACAGACCGAGGATTACAGTATGTGCAACAGAATCATTGTGACAGATTAGAGTGAATAGTTATGGAAGTCACTAGGAGTGTGCACTTCTGTGAACTTTTAATGGGGTGCTTTGAGCTGAAGATTTCTTTTAAACGTAGCTTGCTTTTTGACTTTAGTTTGGCTATTCACAAACATTGCCAGTATCACTTTAATTAAAGCTGTCATCTATAATGTCACAGCACTCCATCTCTTACCTTATTCACAAGCCAATTCTTACTACATAACCACAAAGGCTCCTTGTATTATCTGTATATTATATATATAAATGATATTCAAATATTCAAGGTATTGTGAGAGTTTTGGAGCTGTGTCATTCAGTTAGAGAGGTGCTCACATGAGCGACATGCCTATGATAGCAACCCTTATGTTAAAAATGGACCATTAGAAAAGCAAATGATATGTACATGATTGAAATGGCATCCAATAGGAAGCATACGGTTGATATAAGTACCATGACTGTAATGAAGCAGTTATGATAATGTCCTTCCCCTCTTGCAGAGAAGCTGATGGCTTACGAGCGGGAGTTCCACGCCTTGAGAGAGCGCCTCCGTGTGGCAGAGCACAGGACATTGCAGCGCTCCTCTGAGCTCAGCAGCATCCTCGAGCAGCTCAGGAACACCATCACAGACAGCAGGGGCAGCAAGCAAGCTAATACCAGCACCTCAGGTGGCTATGGCTACAGTCCTTCATATTTTGCACAATAACCATTAGCATTAGCAGTTGCTTGTTATGTCTATAGGACAAGACAGTTCTGTAAATGGAGGTGTTAATAGAGGTGTGTCTCCCCCTCTCGTCCTTTTCATAGGAACCTTTGTTTCCTCTCCTTTGTGCTTCTCAGGGTTCCCAGGTTGCCTCTATGTATATATCACCATTTTGTATACATTTCTCTACAGTTGAAGTACCAGTCAAAAAATCTGGATACACCTGCTTTTAATGAACTTGTCTCTATTATAAGTATGTTATTTACGTTAAAAGGCCTTGAGGCAATTAATTAATACATATCAATTATTGGAATGACCAAGAAATGTGTTCAACAACTCAACATTCTCTCAAATTTTACACCCTTCAAAAGTTTCACAAGTTTTAGGCTCAAGATGGCTACCTTGCTCTTACTCTTCAATCCAACTCATCCCAAAGCAGCTCTGTAGGGTTTAGGTTGGTGGGTTGTGGGGACCAGGTCATCTATCACAGCCCTTCATTTCATGCATTGTTCACACGATAATACTTATTGCATAACCTCGATGTGAGCTTAGCGTTGTTATCTTGTTGAAAAACGAATGATTTTCAGTAGGTGTGTCCAGAATTTTGTCTGTTACTGTACATTATTTAATTTTGTATCCTTTATATTGGTTACAGCGTAAAATGCTCTGTGGAAACCTTATACAAAGGCAGGCTTACAAAGATGTATCAATCCCACAAACGTTTGTTTGAGGTTTCGTCGTGTTGGTAACAAGAGGTGCTTTTCACAATTGTTCTTCTAATAAATAAAAAAAATGCTCTTAAATGAGCTTTTAAGCTCGGACTCCTCTTCCCTTACCATATACTCATCTGCTAATAATGTTAGCATGCTCCCTAGTCCATTCACCTAAACAGATTTGAATCCCTGGAAGTTCCCGAGCGGTGCGTTGGTACTGCACGTGATCAGAAGCCATAATCCATAGTTTTACTCAGCCTCAATGCTGTGTCCAGGTTTCATACCCAGAAACAGGCCCAGTGTGGGCTGTTCTGCCGTCTTCATCATGCTTACATTGTAACAGGTTGCCGCATTATCACTTGCTTCCTTCAGATGAGACCCAAAACCTGCTGAAGGTTCTGGCCCGCAAGGAGCTGCTCCAGGTGCCTAATGTCTACTACCACGTACCTCACCTCTCGAACAACCCGGAGAGCCTTTACCCGATGGTGCGAGTGGGGCAGGACCGGACTGGAGGTGGGCATGGTGATAGTCTCTCACCACAACCGCACAAGTGTGGATGTGAATAGTACAAAAACTGAAGGAATGCTGTGAGGCTTTTTTTGGTTGGGCCATCAAATACAACTGCATCACGTGGGAATGGCTGGACAGATAGGGAACTAAGATAGGGTACAAGTTTAGCGGAGTGGTGATGAGAAGGAAAATAGAAGATAGCCTTTTTAGGTTCAGTAGGACGAATGTGTTCTGGGAAACAAAACAGGTGCCAGGAAGATCAACAAATCTGGGGTGTGTGTCCTTGTGTGAGAGACAAAGCAGAAGTTTCGTACTGTATTATTTTTAATTACGCACTGATGAATGACTCACTAACTGTTTTCGCCCCACCCTAGGACGGCCACACATCTCTTCTTACAAAAGTATTTTAGAATAGTTGTCACAAACATTTATTGAGGTATTCTTGACCTTCTGCATCAGTTTACCAAAGTGTTAAAGAAAACTTTCCAAAGCACATTTAGTCAAGCAAGAGCACAGCAGATAGATGAACAAAAGACCCATGGCTGTTCTTTTGGTCAAGACCTCACTTCCATTACAATTGAACTGGGGATGTTGGATATTGAATGCGTTATCACTTTCAGGCTCTCTTGGTTCCAGAACTCCTGTCTGGCCCATTCTCCATTGGGCTAAAGGCCTCATAGCAGACAAGGCCAAACTGCTACTTTCGGCCACTCTGGCTGCACCGTTGGTGTTGCCTTACGGGACCTTTGTTTCTGAAGTCCGAAACTAAGTTCACATGCCATTTAAAGTCAAAGCAGCACAACAGGAGATGCAATATCCAGCCTTTTTTACTGCAGTATAATCAGTTCGTGCTCTAAGTGATTGTTTGGGAATCTGAGGCAGGGGTCCACGGGCTTTTGTCCTCTTTAGTGTGGGAGTGAGCGGATCAGGTTTGGTCCCTCGCTGTGGAAGTGCGATGATCTGGTTGGCTTTCCTGGTGTGGTTTTATTGGAAAGATCATGTTCCTCTGAAATCTATAAGGATAAGAAGCACAAAAGACCATCTCTGTTACAAAATAAGGGAGGAATAGAAGGAAGGATTAGCTGATTTCTCTTGTACTATACTTCCTTTGTCTCATTGTCCAAGCTTTTGCACTGACATACTTGTCTGCCCCTGGTACTAGTTAACACTATTGTTTCACGATTTATTTTATTTTTTTTTAATTTATGAAGTGAAGTCCTGATTTTTACTCCCTTTACCTGATTTTGGCTGATTGCTGGACTTCCAGTGAGGTAACCATACAAGATGAAGTCATCTGTTAAGAAGGCATTTCTCCCAGTCTGCCTTTCCCTTCCCAGTGCTGTTTACCATTCCGCACCAGACTCTTGAGCAGACGTTGCAATGGACGCTGCTGAGCTTTCACTGCTTGTGACGTCCAGAGGAGCAAAAACAAACAGTGATGTGAGGGCTGGAAAGACAAACTTTAATTACACATTCAAGGTGATGCAAAAACACACATAACCATTCTGCACCCGAGGTCTCACAGCTGCTAGTGTGATGCCAGTCCATTATCCTGTACTGGATATTTGTCATGCAAACCCACCCTTATCATCTGAAACGGAGAGGCTGCCTTCCTCCCCAGGGGGGGGGGTCACGGGAGAGCTGCGTTCAGATGTGGAAATCAGATCAGCTGCTATCTCGGCACTTCACTGGTGCTCGGTTCATCGATCTTTCAGGCCACTATTTCAAGAAATTAATTGACGAGGGAAAGCCGACTGAGATGAGTACAGCCTCATATAGAGGAAATAAAAGCGACGCTCAATCAGTGCATGGATATTGAAGCAAATAATAGACAGGTGTGCAATGAAAGCGCTCTCATGCCCATAGCATTTCCACTGTGGAAATGTCCGGAAAAGTCAGCATCCAATATTCAGCCAATGATGAGGCATAAATGAAACATATTCCCCAGAATTCTTGTATTCCAACAGGGGCGATTCAAGGATTTGAAAAAATATGGGATGCCGGCCCCACCCCCCTGCTGCTGAACAGAAATGGTACACAGTACTTATTTTCCAGAGGGGCTGAGATAAATGTCTGGGGGTTCTAGACCCCTAAATAGGGTTTAGAACCACGGTACCGTCAAAGAAGTTCTTCGTACTGGTGTAAAAACATGATATTATTCTTGTCAAAGTATCAGATTAGCAAATTTCAAACATCTCCAACAGTCACCCCAGTATTTGCAGCAATTGTCCAATACACCCATCTGACTCAACTATACTACCCGACCTTGTTTGGGTAATCAGTACCTCACTGAGTTTTTAAGTTAATTAATTCATTTGAAATTGAAATTTACCAGATGCATGGAATGGCTGAGGTGCCCCTGAGCAGAGGTTTGGGAACCAAAGCGGCACTGAACAAAAGCCAAAAACCAAAGCCAGCCATCCAACAAAATATCAGTAACGTTTGGGAGTACAGAAGAAATTCTTGTTTATATTTTATTGTGCTACTGTTGATTTGCACGTGTTTAATTGTGTTTTTTTTCAAGCAAATATACATTTCCTATCCAGATAAATAGTCTTAAAAATGTTCTTTGCCTTGTTAAGTTTTTTGCACAGTTCTGTAGTTTGATGGTTAATGCCACTGAGTTGCTTTGACTTCTGTCCCTCTTCTCTCCTGAGGCTAGACTGCCTGATAAACCACAATTGTGAAACATTATAAAAAAGGAAAATGATCACCCCAGGGATGATTAGTACACCTCTCCACGGTTCCTTTTATCTTCAGTCCATTTTGTGTTCCGCGGGACGGCGAGCTTTCATGGGAAACAGGGTGGAGGAGGGTCTGATCTGAGCCATGGGCACATGTGCCTTTGTTAAAGAGCACTCTGATGGCACGAAGGCCTCTCCACCGAGACATCAGCTCACTCCTATAAATAGACCCTTTAACTGTGTAATAGACCCACAAAACGACCCCCTGTGTAAAACCCAGGCAGGGAGCTGGAAAAGATCCCTCCCCCTCAGTAATCCAAGGTCAGCCTTCACACAGAAGCACACGCTGAGCTGTTTATATTCACCAGATGTGATGGTTTGCCCCATGATAACTGTTATCATATACCATACCGGTGAAACGTCTGTACAAACCTACTGAAAATCATTTGTTTTTTAACAAGATGGTGACCCTAAGCATACTTTGAGGTAACGTAGTAAGTGTTATCATGTGCAGAAGGAAAGAGATGGAGTGCTGTGACAGGTGACCTGGCCTCTGCAAACCCCCAGCCAAACCCAATAGAGCTAGTTAGAGACAGTTAGGGTGAGTATCATGGTATCAAGTTATAGACAGATGCATTAAAAGCAAGAGTGTTCAGACTTTTAACTAATAGTGTGTTATCTTGTTGAAAGGGTAATATTTAATGTGTTATTACCATAAAACCTTATGATTCTGTACTGGATAAACAGTTAAACATGGATGGAAGAATTTATTATATATAAACCAGAAATCTAATAAATCATCAAACAGTTGGCTACAGTAGGTGTTCCCTGGGTAATTTAAACTTTTATCCAAATTGATTTGCCTTAGTTGTACAGCTATTATACAGGGTGTTATACAAGAGGAGTTCAGACTAAGGGCACTTGCTCAACTCTGATGTGACCTGAGGGTTTTCAAGTCACAAGGCCGCATTCCTTACCGCTAAATTGCCAGTGTACACAGAAGGCCGCTGTTACACTGGATACACATTAACAGGAGTCCTCCGCAGTATTATCTATTAATGAACTATTTCTGTGTTCTATTAATAGCTCATTGTATTTTATTGCCCCTGTTTGATCTCTTTATATTTTGATCCTTTAATAACTGTCCTTTATATAATTCATAATTTTGCAAGGATTCTCTAAGGTGTAAAAGTAAAGCGGTAGTAGGGAGGGTCAAGGTGGTTTTCCTTCATATCACCACCGGAACTATATTAAATGTCGATTCATTTGTTTTGTGCCATGTTGCCATGTCTCATAAAACTTTTCCATATTTTTTGCTAAGAAAATTTAATAAACGGTACAGACCGTCTCCTTGTTTAGCGACTGGCTCTGTAACCGACCATTCGCAAATACGACGGTAGTCAATCAATATATTTCTGACAACTCCTGACCACAATGCATGTTAGACTATGAACACTGCCGTAAATGTGCGTGAACTTCCTTTGAATACAACAGCAACACCCAGCCAAAGCGCTCGCGGGCACCTGGGCTACGTGGTTTCTGTTCAGTGACCATTTAGCTTAACAACCTGGTTATTGGAATGGAACTCGGTGGCTGAAAACGGAGAGGGTGCAGTATGATTTTGCAGTGATGTTCAAGGCCTTGTTTTCATCCTGCTTCTCCTCTGCAGTCTCCATAGTGATGGGGATCCCCACGGTGAAAAGGGAAGTCAGGTCCTACCTGGTGGAGACACTGCGCTCTCTCATCGACAGGCTGTCACCTGAGGAGAAGCTGGACTGTGTCATCGTAATTTTCGTTGGGGAGGTGTGTCCTTCTCAAGGTCCATTTCATTAACTATCTAACAAAGTCATCACTTACCTGACTCACTAATACTCTAGACAAGAATCATGAATGTGGATCAGGAATCTCTCCACAGTATTCATAAGGCACAATAATTTTCTCCCATACAGTGCAATCCTTTTCTAGAATGGATGTGTTTTGAAATATTTTTTAGACCTGGAGGACTCTCTTCTCAGTGTAACTTTTGTAAAAAGGTCCCTACAATGTGCACGTCCATTGGATCCGCTTTCTGGTGGGATACAAAGTGTGGACTGAGCTGCTGTCAGGAGTTTCTCTCTTGGCTGCACATTTAACGGATATTTCTCTCTCCACAGACGGACACGGACTACGTGAAGAGTGTTGTCGAGGGACTGCAGAAGCAGTTGCGTACTGCCTAACCCTCTTACCTGAGTGTGGTCAGGCCTGTCAGAACTGGAGATATTGTAATATTTTTGAATTCTCAAATGGGGGCTGTTTCTCAGATTCCTGAAACCAACTTGTTTGGCCCCAGCAATCACACCAAGTGTAAAATCACTCACATCTCACATCTGAGCCATTCTAACACTTAGCCGAACAAAAGGCTTTTGTCCATGTCTGTTTGTTATACATATTCAGTTGCGGCCACATAATTCACTATCTGTGTGAGCAGGCTGTTTGCATTACCAATATACAAAATGTGGATTTGAAAGGATTTAATCGTTGTGCAACTTCCTGAAATGTTATCTGTGAGATCATTCTCATTCATTTCAAACTTTATCTAATCCCCTGACTTTCATGCCACAGTTTCTCCAGCGAGTTCAGCTCTGGACTGCTAGAGGTCATCTCCCCACCACGCAGGTACTACCCTGACTTCAACAACCTGAGGGTGACCTTTGGTGACTCGAAGGACAGAGTCAGGTGAGGTTTCATTTCTCCTTTTGAGGACTTGGGCTGCATATGCAAAACATTGTATGACCTCTTTACTGTAGGCCGGTGCATTAATTAAATTCTAGACTCCAATGAAAAATGGTTCTTAGTTATTTCAATGAAATGAGACCTTAGTAAACAAAGAACAACTTTGTTTAAAATTGTAGTAAAATAATTCATAAATACTTCAAGGTTGCAAAATTATGTGAGCTATATGAGTCACAAGATCTCACCTGTACTGGTAAATGACACTGGAAGTACTGAGAAATACCGTAAAACGTTTGCTCTTCCTGGCTGTTACTGGGTGTGGCTGTCGGGCTGCTCTTGCAGTGCTTGCAGCCCTTTTCCCGCAGTGAGTAACTGTAATATCATTCGAATTTGGCGGCTGCCGCCGGGTTGCTTCCAGGGGGCGGATTCAGAAACTACATGTAGGGAGAGAAGCAGGCGCTGCACTAGAGTGGGACCCACGTCTGCGGACCAGTCTGGCGTAAGAAAAATTCACGGAACAGGAATGCCGGCAGATTATTTGATGATTTTAATCATTAAACATGGATGGAAGTTTAATCATTTCCCTTTTCTTCCCAGATGTGAATAGAAGGTGTGAATATGAGGGGTCATAAAAAACAGAAAATATATTCTTTTAACCAACCGCACTGGAAAACCTCCAGTGTTCCGTGACCCAGTGGAATACTGGCCACGAACCATGGTTTAGATTCCGGTACACTAGAGGCTGCCCTCAAACGAGACCCGAAGGCATTGGTGCTTCGTGTCAGTCACTGTACATTGTAATGGCCTTGCCTCTTGCCCCATTATCTTACTATGTTAGCAGAAATGCTCGCAGCTTTGGTTACCTGTACGGGTATGTGGCTCATTATACTGTATAGTTTTATGGTCTTTATAGTTATATGGTCTGTACAGTAATTGTGCTTATCAGCCTTTTCTGTGAAAAAGTATAGATTAGGTCAATGTATGAGTCTGCTGTCCCATATTCATGTTTAATTTCATAAAAGCATGTCATAGCAATTTTTTAAAATCTCATATATTTCCTTTTTGTTTCATTGGATTTAATGCAAAACAGAGAGAGTTGTGACAGTGATGCTTTCGGAGAATTGTGCATTTGTGTTCCATTACTTTTGTATTTTTATTTTGTTCATTGCAAATTGCAAGTTGGCCCTGAGGACTTGTCTCATATGAAAATGAGAAGGAATGCATGCTCTCCAGTGAAACCAAGAGGATAGACTTTGCTCTCATGACTTCTCATATGAAAATGAGGAGGAATGCATGCTCCCCAGTGAGACCAAGAGGATAGACTTTGCTCTCATGACTTCTCATATGAAAATGAGAAGGAATGCATGCTCTCCAATGAAACCAAGAGGATAGACTTTGCTCTGATGATGTGCCTCATGCTGCACATCACTTGGGACTGTGACTTTGCAAACAGGCAGACATTGTAGTCACAAATTGCTGGTAGTGATGAATTTCCCTTGGATAGTGCTGGATGCTGTAATGGATCCATCCATCTTCAAAAGCACTTATTCAGCATGAGGTCATGAGGAACCTGCAGGTGCCTAGTGCAGGAAGTAAAGGGTATAAGACAGGGAACATTCTGGATGTGTGATGTCATTCCATTTCATGGTTAATCACTCACATTTGGCAATGCAGAGTCTCAATCGCAGCAGTTTCACAATATAATAAAGGTAACCTGAAATTGTACATGTTAGTAGTTTATTACAAATTATGTCTGAGATTTTACTCTCTATGCTTTTACTCCGTGCTGCACTCATACTTTCCCATGTAGCATTAATTCAGAGCTTCATGTATCAAAACAGGTGGAGAACAAAACAGAATTTGGACTATGCCTTCCTGATGATGTATGCGGTGAACAAAGGTCTTTATTATGTACAGGTATGTAGGGGGATATACAGTATAGGCTGCATGTTTTCACCTCTGATATTGAGCTATACGTTCAGCTGCAAATATCTGTATATTTGAATAAGATACCTTTGCTTGGTTCTCTGAGTACTAAGATAACTAATTGTTCTGAAGGTGCTTTTAGATTTTATGCTTTTGAATTTTATCGTGATGTTGATGACTATTAGTTTGGTGACATATAGGTCTCTTGACTGGTTGCCTCTATCATACTGACAGTGTGTCTGAAAGTCCTTTCCCCTCTCATGCATTGTAGCTGGAAGATGACATCATAGCCAAGCCAAACTACTTTGATACCATGAAGAAGTTTGCACTGCAGCTGTCTTCTGAGGAATGGATGATTCTAGAGTTTTCTCAGCTGGGTTTCATTGGTGAGGGGCTTTGCATAGATTAGCATGTACATATTATGCATTATATTCAGAGAAATTCTGACTTGGGCTATTCTTATTAATCCATTTCCATTCCTCCAGACCTCACAACCACACTACAGTTTCTTGTCCACACTGAACAGGAACAGCCATAGAAGATGTGTTATGACCCAGTGATTTTGTTAACCTCACTGGCTCCATAGCTTTGAGTTTTATTTGACACTACTTATGGCCAAATGAAGCTTCATGAACCATTTGCTGTATTTTCTGACCCCCACTAGATGGTGCTCTCTGTTCATAAAAGGGCTCAAAGCATGACCCAAAGCAAGCCAAGAGCACTATCTAGTGAGGTGAAATGTGTGGTGATAATGTGTCATGGGACTGTAGCTGGGTGATGGCAAGGTGAGAAATCTGGAGTCCCAAAAGCAGAGAGTATATTTTTGTTGCACCCTGAACAACCTCAGTGCAGAGACATGCTATGCATAAACCATACAGGAAAATTGTAATTTTCAATCAAACTCACTCCCCCATCCATGCCTCTTTCTGTACAGGGAAGATGTTCCAGTCCCCTGATCTCAACCTGATTGTGGAGTTCATCTTAATGTTCTACAAAGAGAAACCTATCGACTGGCTTCTAGACCACATCCTGTGGGTGAAAGTTTGCAGTCCAGAGAAGGATGATGTATGTGGACAGAGGGGGAGCCACAGACATCTGGGTTATGTCTTATATTATGGTGACTTAGTGTACGTTACAGACATCCCAGCTCTCCTGGACGTTCCAGGGGTCTCCTGCGTGTTGGTAGCAGCTGCCTGATGTCTGTTTTCCTTCTACAAAGATTATAGATAAAGTCTTGGGTCTTTGCTATTTCTCACACATGCTCTGTCTCTGTCTGGGATATTGTATATCATTTGTGGACATTAAGGAGCCCCTATTAACATGTGGGAGACTCTCAGAACTTCCAGGAGAGCTGGGATGTCCGACATCATACCAAAATATAATCTTGGTAGTAGATGGACCACTTGACAGTTGATATAGATACTCAATGTTTAGTTGAAACCTCTTTGTTCTGGACTGAAAGAAGTGAGAGAAAATTTGCAGTTCACCAATGTGGAGCAACGATTGGCGTAAATATATCCCTTTTCCCAAAATTCAACTCGTCAGCATAAAATCCATTTAGTCATTCATCTTTCAGCTGCTCATGCAGTACAGGGTCCCAGTGTATCTGGAGAATCTGTCCTAGTAAGACAAGAAAAGAAATCAGTACAGGGAAGTCTGAGCCTTATTTGGTATGTACTCAAAGAACGCTGGTGTGAGGGGACAGCTGGCATGTGGGTTCTGATGACCGTTTATCAGCTAAACCTTTTTAGGACATCAGAGGTGGCTGAATGTTGCACTTACGTGTTTTTTTCTTCTTCTTCTAACCCACTGAAAAGGAGTATCTGGACCAGAGCATGTGAGCGGAG